TATATATATATATATAAAGCACGATGCTATTCACTTTAACTGGACTAACTTACTACTTACGGTGTTATAAACAGAGTATGCTGACAGGACATGGAAGAGTGCCTGTTGCCTGGGGAGAAAGAAGGATATTAAAACACTTGAGCATGAGGTCTCCAGGTTCGTGTGCACACCAATGCGTATGCACAGAGAGCAAAGGCTCTGAAAACACCCAGCCAACTAGTACTTATGCCTTTTGCCAGGAGCAGGGCTCACAGAACCAGAAAGCACTTTGATAGGCATGTGGGATGGGACCTCTTCCTGTAGGAGGGAGTCACCAGTGGCCCCTCAGAGTGGGGCTGAACCAGCCTGGCCCATCAGCAGGTCTCCTGGAGACACATGCACGTACCCACACGTGCTGTGTTCCACACACCTCCTCTTCAGGCTCGGAGTGGAGGTGGGTTTTTAGTAGACTTGCAACCACCCAGGCATCAAGTGTTATACATCCTGGGAGAAAGCACTGCCACCATTTTATTAACAGGTTCCTTTCTCCCTTCCCTCCTTGCTAAAGGAGTCATCACTATCTAGATACACAGTGCACACTCCCTCACAGACTATGTCTGTGTAGGGCAGCCAGGTGTGACTCATCCAAGTGACAAAGCCACTTTGTCAAACCTCTCCAACCCCGTCTGTTGTGGAAGCCACGTATGCCCCATCCCATCCAGCTTCTGACAGACCCACCCCATCATCCCAGCCATCCCAAACCAAGCCCTCTGCAACTGCAACTCCATCACCCTGGGGGACAAGGCACTGCAACAGGCTGATGCTTGGCTCAGGAACTGGGGCTGAACATGGTACAGTATAGACCTGTCCGAAGAGAGAATCAGCAGCCCAACATCTGTGGGTTGTACCACGTGCTGATGGTCTGTGGAGCAGGCAGAGATAGCTTTGCTCTCCTGTGAGCTGCTCTGCACCAGGGGTCTGCTGGCCACCCCATCCAGCTCATCCCACAAACACTGACCGGCACTGATGCCCATACAGCCACGCAAAGCCTCCCGTACTCACTTCACTCCGTAGCGATCCCGAAACATGATGTGGTTTCGGAAGGTGCGGTTAACATCCAGATCTATCTGCTTGATTTCCGATGAAAAGCTCTTTGCTTGTTCTTTCATTTGCTGGAAGGGAGAGGGGCAGACAAGAGGAAGGAGTCAGACACCACCTCAGCCCACACCTCTCCACACAGCCAGAAGGCATGCTTCCTACAGCAGGAGTGGCAGCTTGTGAGCTGCACAGAGCTACTGCAGAGCGACTGGGGGACGCTGACGTCTTGCAGTGAGCAACGATCTGCAGTCTGGAGATGAATCCCCAGCCCCTCGGCTGTGCTGCTGGCCCAGGGAGAAGGGGACGACCCCACACTCAAATGCTGCCAACCCAGCCTTCGCCCATCTTCCAATACAGATACCAAGTTTTCAGAATCTAAAACCTTTACAATTAAATTCTACTCTGATTTCTTTTGATTTCTTTGTGGTACTTGGCTTGGCTGTCATAAAGCATCAAGACTTCTTGGTGCTTAAGGAATGATACACTTCTATAACCAACAGAGTCCCTGAGCTTTTCATAATAAACTGTTACAACAGACTCTATGAAGTGATCTCCAACTACTACTTCCCCTGCAGAAGAGAATCATCTTAGGTTTAAGGCATTTCTACTACAAAATCAGTTCTGGGGTATTCCCTTGGACTGGTGCAAATTTTAAGGAACTGGCAGAGTCCAGAACAGAAGATAAACCTAAAAGCAAGAATCCCCGTGTTCCCCGCACGCTGGCTAATCATTTAAGGCAGCATCACACAGATAAAGGACTGAAGTCCACTGCAAAAAAAGGAAATTCAAACCAAAGCTAAGCCCACCTCAACCAATTGTGCCCTTAGAGTCCCAGGCTCCATGGAGGAATCCCACTGCAGGCCCATTTGTCACCCACTGTTCAGCCCAGTGTGTGCAGACAAGGACCATTATGCTATAGCCAAACATTTCATTCTCACAGCCTTTAGACACCACCGGTGATCATGCAATTGCCCTCCTTCTTTAATATCTCCAGGGTTAATTGCATTAATAAAATACATTTTATGACTGTCTTCAGGCAGCCTGAGATCCACTGGCAGGTTAGGGGCAGTGGAGATGAGCAGCAAGCCCAGTTTGCCTGGAGCCCAGGGTCAAGACCCCTCCTTGCTCACACAGGAGACAGAAAATAGCACATCTGCACAGATACTTAATCATCTGCTCCAGCAGCTGCCATCCTACGAATGCTTGTCAGCCTGATACAAGGTGCCTCCAGGCTGCTGTCGACCTCCTGAGATGGCCACATCAGCTCTGGGGAACATCAAAATGTCATTAGCACCCAGATGTGTCCAGCACAGCCAACACTCAGAGCAGTCACAGCATCTCAGGAATATTAATTCCAAACTTGAAAACAGCTGTATGGAGGAGCAACAGTGTAGGAGCCATTTTGAACTATTGCCTGCACAGGACAAGGGAGGATAAAAGTGATGATGGAATGAAGATCTGATGAACATCATTTCCATGCTGTAAACACTGTGCTCCGTGCATCCTACGTCTCCTTGCCCACTCTAAAGCGGGCAGACTACCTGAGGCAAGATGACTATTCATATACACCGGTCCAGTTCAAATTTCCCTGCTAAAGGCCCTCATTTTCTCTGCCAGAACACCACCAAAATCTCTCAAAGACTGTAAAACCTCCTACTCTGGGGTTTTTTTTTAAATCACTGCACCTGAAGAGCAGGTAGGTTGCACAGCGCTTTGTCACCTCCACGCACCCAAGAAGCTTCAGTAATTCTGCAGACAGTAAACAAGAAGCCCAGGACAGGTTGTTCACCTTTTTTTCAAGTAACCTGGGGGCTCCACAGATGCTCTGCTGAGCTTGCTAGCACTGCGAGCCCTGCAAGCTGGCAGCAGAGCAGAGGCTGGGAAGCTGCTGTTCCTGTCCCAAAGACCTTTTATAAAGCAGCACGTAAGACAGGATGCCTCTGCTCTGCCCCATGGTCAGCACATTCCTCCTGCTACCTTCTCAGCTTTCCTCAAGCCTTCTTGGTTGTAGCTATAAAACCCCAGGGAGGCAGAAGTTCATGCCCACATTGAAACCAAGTGTGGTATGTCCCATGGTAGCCTCCGGGCTCCTGCAGCATCAGGGACAACTGAGCTCCCACGGCCTTGAAGAAGACTCAGAGACTTGCATGGAGAAGTACTGGAAGACAACTGCGATAAATTAAAGTACTACGGAAGCAACTGGTCCAGGCTTTTTAATTTTATCACTCCAGAGGCAACACGGACATGGGGAGCAAGGTATGCCATTTGGCTGGAAAAGTATCTCCTTTGCCAGCCTGAGCGCAAGGGACATCTCTACAGAGGGAGCAGTGGGTATAAAAAAAGATAAATCCCCTGGCACATGCCAGGTGGCATGCTCAAAACTCAAGGCACATGCAAAAGCCAGGCTTTTGTGCCATGGTTCACGCCCAAGGAGAAACGGGGTGGCCTTGGGAGCAGCCCCTCCAGGACACAAGGCTGGGGTTGAAGCTTAGTCCCTTCTTGAAAGCAAAACCTCACATCCAGGATCCGCACTGACCCTCTTCTGGAGGAAATCAGGGGAGAGCTAATTACTAGCGGCAGGGGGCACCAAAGAAGAGGAGAATTAAGATGAACTTGTAGGGGGTTTGCATCCAGCAAAGCCTATTAGCCCTGAAGCTCCTGTTTATCGCAGACCCCTCTGGAGCACAGATAAACTCCTTGAGACTTTCATTTGTTTGGATTGCTTCCCTGCCTGTGCAGCACAGCTTGGAGGGAAGGAGTGCAATAAGAATCTGCGTGCTGGGAGAGCTTCGTTATCTCTGCTTATTGCTGTGAGCCCAGCCCGGCTTCCCCAAGCCCCTGCATGTGACTCCATCCCAGTGGCATCTCACTATTAACATCTACGCTTGACTAACTATAATGAGCATTAGTGTAATCCTGCTTAATAAGCAGAGATTTTTAGAAACACATGCTGGAAGCAGCACTCCACCTCCTGCCTCTGAAACATAACTGTCCTCACGACACCCTGATCCTCGCCCGGGTACGTGATGCGAGCTAGATCATAACACAAGTTTGGAAAATAAGTTAATTATCAACCAAGGGCTTCCACACACTGCCTATGGAAAGAGGCAGTGTAAAGGTGCTGAGATGCTCAAAAAAACCCCCAAACCCAAAATACAGTAAGCCCCATCACTCAGGTTCAATGCGTGCTACAGAAATTGCTTCTTTTATACCAAGGAATCCAAGCCTGCAGCATGCAATGCTCTGGTAGGAAGCAATGCAAGGCAGTCTTTTCTCCTATCTGCAGAGAAAATAAAACATTTTTAATAGAAAAATGATTTTTATTTGATTTTTAATAGAAACTTTTAAGACAGTTATAAAAAGATTGAAGACGGAAGATAAAAGAAGCCTCTTCAATCCAAGCTCTTCCAACGCTGTCAGTCAACTTCCAGCTGCACATCAGTTGTAAGACAGGACCCCACACTCAGATATACCCCCCAAGCTCAAAAGACCTGCCCTCACCCACGCTTAATTGGGTTGCTCAACTAAGGACCCATTGTCAGCTGGTTTAAGGCTTCTGACCTTGTGCATTTCAAAACGCCCTGAGTGAAATTTTCAAGTACAGGGAGACATTTGTGGTACCCTCATCCAGCATCTACCCACTTCAGGGTACTCGTGGCTACTCCACATCACTCCAGGGAGCTTGGGGAACTGCGAGCTGTACCTTTGCTAAGCTTCGTTTTCCCTAAGGATGCAGTAACACTAACAGCATCTTTGCTCATGGCTTCCATCAGAAAATAAATGGAAGCAGCATATCAGAGAAAGCAGCTGGCTGAACATGCTAAAAGGCCCCAGCCTAATATACACACACACGGATAAAGAGTTTATCCCCTTTGCATTCTCAGTCCTCACTAATTTTAAGCCTTTCCTTCTCAGAGGTTGCAGCAGTTCACAGAAGGGATCAGGCCCCGCCACCAGTGCATGTCATAGGGTGCTAGGCACACCGCTACCCTGCAAGGGAGGATGCAAGGGTTGGGTGTTCCCCTCCGACCCTTAAAGCATCCCTGTAGGAACTCCCATTTCCCTCCTGCCCATGGTGGAAATGGAGATGCCTGCATCCACCATGCTTGCCCCAGCCAGTAAAGCCCCACCAAACCAGCCTTCCCATCACCTTGCTCCCATTGCCTTTGCCAGGAAGAGCCTGTACCTCATATTTTCCTTCATTCTCCTTCTTCATCTTCTCAACGTCCAGCAGAAGCGACCAGACCTGGCCTCGCACCTGAAGCGGGATCCCTTTGTACACTCGCCGACACATCTGCGGGGAGGTAAATACATGCAAGGTTAGCTGGTCCTGCTGGTGGCAGAACAGATTTGCTCTCTGGTTTGCTGCTGCGGACCACCAGCCATCTGAGCGGACACCCCAACTGATCACTTCCTCTGCCTGCGCTGGCGCAGAGAGGGCATCTCCAATCTGATGGATGAGCTGAGCACCTGCATCCATCAAAGGCATGTACCCAGTCAAAATCAAGCCACATCTCATGCTTTTGATCTTACTGGAAGAACTGGATACAGACCATCCCCTTTATATGTGGAGACATCTCAGATCCTTCAGAGCAGTCACATTCCATGCACACAAGCCTGCCCTTGTACTCCTCTCAAAGGACCAGACGCAGCACCCATGGCTTTGAAGCTTTTGATCTGACCTGGCATGGCTGTTCTCACTTGGATCCTCAGGGATTGGGAGAAAAATACATTTCCCCTTGGAGAGGAGAGCCCTTACCATGAGAGCCACAGGGACATGTCCTCCGCAACCACCATGGCAAAGGAGACTGTGGGCTACACCAAGGGCTCTCCCAAGAACGTGCAAGGTACTCCTCAAGCAAAGAGGGGGACTGGGGAAAAACGTGCACGTGTCCCTCCTCTTGGCACCGCTTGATCACTTCATGATGTCTCTTCCCTTTTTTCTTGTTATAAAGCCCTCTCTCTCTAAAGAGACCATTACATTTCAATGGAAAACAGAAAAGAGCTTTTGTTCCATCCTTGACCTCTCCCATTAAAAGAAGCAGATTCATAAAAAAAAGAAAAAAGCCTCATTTCTGAATATTCCCATCCTTTCATTCATCCCACCTGTGAAATGCCTTGCAGCTGCACTACAAAGCCAACCGTGGCACTCCTCCAGGTTCCTGAGGACCCTGGGGTATGCTGAAGGACCTGCTGCACGTTCCTAAGCTCCAGCTGTGGAGGGGATTTACATTGTGAAAGAGCAATCCCTTGGGACCGGACAGTTCCTTGGGAAGGGACAGAAGTGCCAGATTCCCGGTCATGGGAATGAGCTTGGGGCTTAGCAGGGCAGTGCCCAACCAGGCAATCAACTGGAGCTACTGGCACTGCCTGGTACAAATGCATCCAACCTCTTTCAAAATCCCTCTTTCCATAGTGTGTTCTGCTTCATGGGTTTCAGGCTGATGCAAGAGAAGAACTACAATTCATAGGGAAGCATCAAGATCCTAGTAGAAGATTTTCTGGATGTGGTCCTGCCGTGTTGCCTTAGCATCTCTTACACCATTTGTTCCTGTTACCTTTCCTCTCTGACCTATCTCACATCATCAACTTTTTCACTTCTGGCTTGACTTTTTAATGCCAGCCTATGCACAAGGTTATAAAGACCATAACCATAGCACTACGTTGTCAACCTACTTGGGCTAGCAGCACTTGAGAGCACAGACCCACGCTCCTCGTTTCGTTACCACCAGCACAGCAGCACTGCACCTACCGAGTGCAAAACAAAGCAACGGCGGCTCTTGTCCCAGAGAACTAGTACAAAATGAGACAGGAGGTGGGGTTCAAGTAGACAGGCTAGGGGACAGCAAAGAAATAATGCCATTATCCTAGTCAAAATAAGCATATAAAATAGCTATGTAATAAATGCCAAGACCACCATGTAGTACTAAGAGAGCAAGATGTGTGTTAGAACACTTTTCCACCACTTTATGGTAAATATTTCGGTATTTCTGCAGACACAGAAAGTGTCAGTGTAATGTATCCTAATCCTGTAAGTGTAATGGACATTCAACATTTAAAAACCCATTCTCAGCGCTTACCAAATGCTTGCTCTGCCCCAGGTGTTGCTTAGCACCAGCTCTGAAGGTCCAATGCACAGCCAGGACCATACCCTACAGAAATCCTTTGCAAGACCCTGCCCTCCCATTTGTATGCACCAAATATGAGCTGCCCCCCTAAAAACCATCTCACTACCAAGACATGCCCCCAGAAGGCCACCATCCTATTCAACTGCATCCTGCACTTTAAGCAGGACATCACTAATTCACCATCTGCACCCCCAGGGGAGCCACTTCTGCTCGTCCAAGCTCACATGAGGAGGCATCTCTGGAGGACAGCAAACCTTTGTGCCATGTTGGACAGTTTCATCCCCATGGCTGAAAGACCAAGGAGATGAACAAGAGATTCCCATTCCCTGACAGTCATTAAATCAGGATGAAAGAAGTGCAGTGCACCAGGAGACACAAAGCAATGGGATTAGATGAACCACGTCCCCAAAGTGGTATTGGCAAGGCGCCCATAAAAGCCTGGCTCCTGCAAGCGCTCATGTTTTCATGAAGCAAAAGCTGAGATGGGATCAAGAAACTGGAGTACATACCAGTTCAGATAAATCACCAAATCAGAAAAAATTATTTATTTCCAACAGATTAGGAGAGACGAACTGACAGCTGCTGAGGTAGAAGATGATGCTCAGCTCCATGGGAAGAAAATAACTTTGTTTTGAATTCCCAGAGCTGGTATTGTTGTACTTTAATGAGTGCAACCCTCACTGGCATATAGTAAATGTCTGTAATGATTCTCTCCACATGAGAGTGTGGCAGCAAGAGAGGAGTTACAAAACATGCTGAGATGGAACTGAACTGAAATGCCTCCCCACTATTTATCCAAGGGTTTTCCTCCTCCCACCGCCTCCAGAAGTGAAAGTGATAAAACCTCAGAGCTGTGAGTCACGTGGAGGAAAAATGAGCAATTTTCCTTCGTTGTGAAACTTGAAGAAAAACAGGGAAGTTATATTAAAAGCAGCATTTACACTGGAATGAACTGACAGAGGGAAGGCAGCAGGTGATGGCATCTCCTGCTCTATATGAGAAGAAAAAACAACCCTCAAGGCCACCATCTTCTGTCTCTTACAAACCACTCAGCCCTTACAGATGGGAAGAGAGCACCTAGACCATGCCCCATGCAGAACGACAGACAGACCAATGCATGGCAGGAAGAACAGACATCATCCCATTTCACAAATGGAGATGCTGGTGGTCAAAGCGATGGCTCCAGGTGCTGTGTAGGAAAGCCGTGTCAGAGTCAAGGACTGAACTCACAGTGTTTAAAACTTGTTCTGGATTTTGCCATAGGATCATCTTCCCTCTCCTGGCTTTAACATACAAAGCTCATGGCACAGAGGCCATCATCATCCCATCCTCATCTCTCCCCTCCCCACGTACTTTCTTTCCAGTAGATGGGATGGGCAAGACTACACAAGTAAAGACCTGAACTCCATCTTCCTGCATCAGAGATCTCCTCTGAGAAGTACCCAACCAAATGGTCCAGGTCTTTAATTAGAGAGGTGGAGTCACTGACTTTGAACACATGACATCTTTTTGCAGTAGTAAGACACTGAAGTTAAAAAGGATTTGGGAGGGGTGGGTTGTTTTTTTAAAGCAGAACACACACATTTCAGGCCATTTTCACATTCTGGAGCCTGTCACTGTTAGCTTCTCAGCCATGTGCATGGTCCACCAAGAAGAGACTGCAGGAAAAATGCCCAAATTTTGGGTATGCATGGCAATTTCACTTTCAAACCTCTCCGTATACCTACCATAGATCTCCAACACCCTGAAGTGGGGGGCAGCCCCCCTTCCTCAGTTCCTTTAGGGCTCAAAGAATGATCCTTCTGGAGAGGAAGGACTCACACTTCCTCCACCAGTGATGTACCAGGGGAGCTGAGCTGTGAAACTCTTCACCTGGAGTGGTGGGTGAAGCCTCTACCCACCACCACCATGACCACGACCACCCTGGAGAAGAGAACTTGTTTTTTACACCCCAAAACTGGCTGACTGATGATGTGGCAAGACACTTGGCAGCCTGGACTTTGCTGCGTGTGGTTTTCTTTCCATATGGATAATGGCTGCTCCCAACTCAGCTGTTGTATCTGCAGTTAGAGCATCGGCTATGCCAGATGGGGTGCCAGCAGGTCTGCAGGGGCCTTGGCAGCAAAGCAGGGGCAAACTTAAATCCTAAAGCTGATGTATCGGGGGTGGGCATTTACATTTATTACCAGGGCTACTTTGGGGGAGAGGAAAATGCTACCTGCCTTTCCAAAATGGCAAAACCCAGCAGCAGAAGCCACCCTGCAGCTCCCAGGCACAAGGACCATTCTTTCCCATGCCGTCTGCAGGCAGGAGACCTGACTTCAGTTGACCCTGCCATGACAAATGTCTGCTGGCTCTCCCCAGTGTTAGCAGATTATTTGCTCTTGGGGGTCCGTGTCAGTCCATACAGAGCCCCAATTCATCCTAAACTGCTTTGCTGGCATGCACTGGATTAAGCGCCCTGCCCCCCCGTGACCTTAGCAGACACAAGGCTATCCCCATGCACAAAGGCAGGCTTTGCCTAAAAACCAGACATCTCTGGCCAAAGACATCCCTCTCTAAAGGTCCCATCCCACGTGGCCAGCAGCAAGAAGCAGCTTGCAAATGATGCAGAGGTCATATCCTCTTCCTAGGACTGATACTTCTGGCTGAAATCCACTTATTTCAGGGCTATGATGAATAAATTATCCCACTATTGGAGCACATGCAGCACAGCCTCTTTTTTTCTCTGCAAAACTGTGCTGCCTTAACTGTGTATACTCTTACATGGCACCAACCATTTCCTAACCTTCCCAAGTAGAGTCATGTTGGGATTTAAACCAGCAGTGAAGAGGACATAGACCACCTGAGCCTCCCTGTGCTGAACCCCGAATTACACAATTTAGCACTTCTCTGCAGGTTTGACATACCTTAACTCTGTGAGGCAGTGTGGTCCTTGCATGTACTCCTTTATTTGTGTACCCTTTCCCTTGTGAAATACCGCCAGGAGAAGGTACCACTGCATCAGTCTAACCCCATCCATGCAAGGAATTGTTCTGGTGTCACTTGTTGATGTTGCTACTGAAATTAAATCAGATTGCTATGAAATGTGTCTAGAACAGAGATGGAGACAGATCTGACGCAGTGATGAGCCCAAGGAACACCAGGGAATCACTTTAACTAAGATAATCCTACTTGTTGCAAATCCTGAAACATGTTATGCCAGGAATGATTTTAGGCATAGCTGGGCCATCCTGGGCTAGGCATTATAAGAGTCCTTCCTCTTGAGGGGGTTTTTCAGCCTTATTTCCTATAATCTGTGACAGCCCCAACACTCAGACTGCAACCAGCAGCACGCAGGGACGCACACTGGCAGCAGGTGGGGGAACAGAAAGCAAAACCCGCTGCGCTCTGGCGACGGCTCATGCTGGGGGTCTGAAAAAACTGCTTTCTCACCCACTGACGGGTGGTTGCTTTGGGGCCAGTGCCCTGGATGGGCACACAACCTCCCTCCTCCTGCTGACATTTCAGATCAGGGAAGCTGAGACAACAACCTAAGCCCCAATTAGGTACTAAGATGCTGCAAAACATGACAGCCTGCTTGATAAGCCAAGAGTCCCTCTTCAAGCACTCGATATGGTCAGCTATCTGCCAGCTCCAGCATGTGAACTGGGACTCGAAATGTTGGCCCTGAAGTCCAGAAAGTCCCAGCCTGAAAAATAAGACAGGCTTCTATATCACTCGAGCAGAGCCAAAGTCAAGGCAGCTTCCCTGTGAAACTGCCTGGGGTTCCTGCAACAAGATTTTCTTCCCTCTAATAAAGTGCAGTCTATCAAAATGAACATCAAAGAGAAGCCTCCTGTCTTCAGTAAGGTTTTTTTCAAAGATGACATCCTAGTCTTTATTAAAATAACACAGAGCTGCTGTCTTGTGACACTCGGGCTTCCATCATGTCCGTGAAGTGCCAAAAACAAACCTGAAGGAAATGTGCAATGCAGATGTGACAGCCTGAGCGCTCAGAGAGGGAACAAAACCAACCAACTCTGCTTTAGAAAAATCAAAGGGCTTGTCACATTTACTTCAGCTAGGAAAAAACCATAACCATCTGAAGGGTATAGCTGTGATCCCAGAATAATATCCTTGAAACACCATGTCTGAGCTTAGCAGGAATCTCTGAGCAGCTTCCACGCTCCTGAAGCAAAAGCATGGGGTTGCACATCCAGGTGAAGGATGCAACCTAAATTTTTTATTTAAAGCACTTTTTTTGTGCCTCTCAGGGTCTTTGCACTTAATGCTGCGTGGCTGCTCCGATGCACATACCTTCCCGCCTGCACTTGCACTGGCATGAGGCAGGGGGTGTTAGGCTGGATGGGACTGAAACCAAAGCTCCTTTCTACTCCCTGGGGTCACCAGACTGCTCCTTCCCTGCTTGGGGCCAAGCGCTGCTTCTCCATTTGCTAGGAGGGGGGGATGGCCATTTCCAGACCCGCAGCACGGGGACAATGCCATGTCTGTGCCCAAGAATCATCAACCATTTACAGGCTGTTATAAATAACATCATTTATTCCATTACAAGAGATCTGTGATTTTCTGACCTAAAGACCCTCAAAACCTGCTTGCCCCACACCATCCAGCAGACCTGAGTGACGTCAGCTGCAGCACGCTTAACATACCCGCTAATTATCAGGGTAAATCCAAAAGACTGACAGCAATTGCTACTGCTCCACACACCCCTCACCCTGGATCCTGTCTGTCCCCACCAGATGACCTGGGGGAGCCAAGGCGTGCTAAAAACACTCATCTTTATTCATACCAAACATCATCCAGGGCCTGAAGGAATTCCCTGCACTCTGCTGGAATTTGGTGTTTTACCCACAAGGCCACTAACCAATTAGTACTAACTTCTAATTAGAAAAAACAAAGCCATGGGAGAGCCTCCACTTTTGCCAGTGGAGCGGCACCGATGAACAAAATAATTAGAACCACTCTGAAGTGGAAGGATTATAAAACCCCAAACCCATTTCCACCCCATCCCTGCTGTAACAAAGATAAGATTTGGGTTTCTTTTCAAACAAGGACAAGACTACAGCTGCTCTTCAGCTGGGTGAACCTGACATCACTCTGAATGGCCAGGCGAGGGGAATGCTCTGCTTAATGGCCCCCCGCAGCTGTGCCGATATCCTCTCGCACAGCCTTTCAACCGAGCTCGTTTCTCCCGAGGAGTCTCAGCAGGAGCTAGGGGCAATACAGCCAAACACCCCACTTCTCCTGCCAAACAAGAAGGCTGCAGAGGCCATGACAACAATGTGACGCTGGGCTTCAGCCCTCTCCTGCCCAGAGAGCTGTAAACAGAGCAGGCCAGGCATGATACTCCTCTCCTTACCCAGCAAGGGTCCTGTCATTAGGTTCAAGGGGTTTTTGTTTCAAGAGGTTTGTAATAGGGACATATTACAAATATTATTTATTAAAAACAACTGAGTTTTGCAGTGGCGTTTGGTGCAGAGTTTATTTTGAACACCAAAGCCAAGGCACAAGGTTGGCATGTCCATCCTTGATTTCCACAGATGAGTGCACACAATCTAACACCTAAGAGGCTTCTCACAGGCACAGCTAGGAGTAAAATACAAAATCTAGGTGATGTCCTAGACAAATAATTCTCCCTCCAGGGAGAATTACGAGGAACATCAGCTGGGCCATATCAGTCATATCTCCTATGCCACTCCCAGGTGGCGGAGACACAGAAGCGACCTGCAGTGTGCAACACCCCCTGCTCACAGGGCAGGGACTAAGCTGGGCCCACGATCATCTCCACTGTGCTCCTGCTTGCACAGGGAAGCAGAAGCACAAACATGCCAGCAGCATTTAGGAAACCATTTTTAAAACTATGCTAGTCAGAACAGGAGTTTTCCCTCAACTGGTAACCCAGCAACTTCAAGGAAAGCTTTAAAATATTAAAGACTAATGGGTAGAATTAGGCAATATTTCCTAGTGATCTCTGGTTTCTCTGTCAACTTTTCGAAAGCCTGACTCATTGGAAGGATGCACCGTTCCTGTCCCTCTGAACATGTGCTCTTTCTTTTCCTCTTACCTTGTCACTGTTTCTGTATTTGCCCCATTTCTTCAGCATCTTTAGCCACTTGTCCACACGTTCGATTTCCTGCTGTTTTTGCTGATGGGAGGGGGAAGAAGATGAGACAAATTTAAGAAAAAAAGCCCCAGAAGACCCCTCCTGAAAACATCAAACTTCATTCTCTTTAGGTTTAAACTTCTAAGCAAAGACATCGCATCAGCGATGGGAATAATCCACAGGTGGTTGCAGGAACTGGTAATTTCAACCCATGGTAATTAAAGCAGCATTGGTAAAAATGATGAGACACACAGGCTTAACATAGAGAAAGCATTTCCAAGAGGAGTACTCCTTGACAAGAAAAATCTTTGCAGGTTCAGCTAGCCTCAAATTGTATCATTGTATCAGATTAGCACAAATAAGATGCTATTCAGTCCCAGTTAGCAGGATCCTAACAAAGGAGATACTCCCAGCTCAGGGGAGATGAGGCTGGAGATGACGGTTACCTACAACCTCCACTGCTTTCCCCTGCACGTGCAATCCCTTTTTCAAGCAGAAGGCACTGAGCACTGTGCCAAAGCAGAGGGAAAAGCCCAAAAGTGCTTTAAAAGGTGTGATTTCAGTGCAGGACAGGAGATGCCTGACCTAGCAAAATAAAGGTCCAACAGCCAGGCATCATGCAGAGTTCTCATCTCTGCATGAGCAGCAGCAACCAGTGGGCGCTGGCTGCCTGCTTCACTCTTGCTTGTACATTCGTTTTCTCAAAAACCATCCCCTCTCCAGCCCATGTGATAAGGATCCGATACCCATGACAACAGAGCTGGCAGCTCTCACCTTTTCCTCCAAGGCTGTGCGGGTCGGCAGCTCCTGCTCGCTGGAAAAGCAAGGGGTCACTGGTTACTCTACGGGCAAGAAAGGGTATGGACGAGTGTGGGGTGCTGCATTTCAGGGACCACCTTGGGCACCTGAGGACATAGGGCTCAGGGGCTTCATGCCTTTCCTGCAGCTGTCCCCAATGAGAAAGACATAGAGGAAGCACCAACCAAAACCCCACCACCCTATGGGAGCTGCTGGGGGGTAATCAAGCACTGGACATTGCTGGAAATCCTGGGAATAAAGCTCCTCTTCAATACACACATGATCAGCAATTAAAAGGGGAGAGGTGGGAGATTTCTGGACAACAATTTCTTCAAACCCCCCTCCTGCACACAAAACATCTACTATTATAACTTTTTGATTGGATTTGGAATAAAAATAGTTCTTTTAAGCGTTCTCCCCAGGCACAGGGTGTGCATCTAATTCATCTGTGCCTCACTTAGGATGGGGATTTCCTAAGGGAACCAAGAATGATCAGGTATCTTGTCTCATCTCTTCCTGCACCTCCCTGAATCATCAGGTGCAAATGCAAGAGCCTCTCCCTCTGTGACACACCACAGGCCTCCACGGAGGCACAGGAACACCAGCCTGCACCTTCTCACACCAGGCTTGTGACAGGAAACCATTTCTGAGCCTTGCCTTGCAGCAGATTCAAAGCATCAGAGTGTTTCAACATGTGCGGTTGAGGGAGGAGGCACATCTAGTCTTTCCTCCTGCATTTGGGATTGATCAAGTCAAGCCACAGAGCAGCTTATAGGAAAGATGCGGGGTCTGCCATGCCTGGTGCAGATGGATGGTCTGCACAGACACATGGGTCAGAGGACAGGAGAGGGCAGGAGGACTTACTGCAGGAATCCAAACCGGTCTGTAACTTTATACAGCGTGAAATCAGCATCTTCCCACTGGTCAATCTGAGCTCCGTCCTGCCTGCCCTGAAAGCAGAAAGGACACCCGTGAGCTGGCCCACGCATCAGTAATGCCCCAGTGCCTGCATCCCGCCCCCAGTACCCGCATCTCTCCCTCCCTGCATGCTAGAGGACATAGAGCCAGGAGATCAACCTGCTCTAAAGAGACAAATACAATGCAGGCAAGAGAAAAATACACAAGTTCAGTTTATCCAGCATCCACGGCGTGCCTCTGCTATGGGCCGGGAAGGGCTGTACATCAGAGAACCCAGTGCTGTTGGGCATAAGCCATCCTGGTGTTAAGGGAGCACTGAAGCACGAGAAGCTCAGGACCTTTCAGTATCTGTCCTGAGCACATATGGGATCCGCAAGAAACTCTAGGGATATGGTGAGAGGAGACGTGCACACAGAAGCAGGCAGGGAGAGCTGGCATAAAGCCTGATGGCATGAGAGTTACTGGGGTGATGTTTGCAGGGAGGCAAAAGTTCATATCTGAAGCATTCCTGATCAATTAAATAGCTTTAACCTTAGCCAGCATGTCGGGCAGAAACATGGGGTTGGTACCTTCTCATACTTGGCAACAATCTCTGCTTTTTCCTGGGCTATTAAAGACTCTATATCTTTCTTCATGTCAGAAGCTGTAAGGAAAAAAAAAAAAAAAGAGAGGAAAAGGAGGTAAGTAAACATGTACATAGCATGAGAAATATTTTAGGAAAAGCCTTTGCTGACAACTTTAGCTTCCAGTAATATTCCATAGCTAAAACCATGCTGAGGTTGAAAAGCCCCCGTACAAAGAGTGCATGGAGCTTGCCTGCACACAGCAGGACTGTGAGCTGCCTGCTATCTGCATGGGGGCACAACTGAATTTGGGCAAGGTGGAGTCTTGTCTGCTGGAAGACAAAATGCTGTGCCTTTATTCTTAGGCACACACATGCCTATAAAAAACATATTGTGCTTTTAAATCGATACACGCAAACTAGCCACAGAGGCCTTGCATTGCACAGGTTGCATGCCAGCTGGGTGTTGTACAGCATCGCGTTCATGTGGGTGACAGCAAACCACCATGCTCTTGCCCTCAGCTATGGATGTGAAGCCATGAGATGCTCTGTAGGGGCATCCAAAGGCAGCTTTAACATCAAAGGAGAAACTAAAAGATAAGTTTTTGCCTACTGAAGTGTGCACACAAGTAAAGTGGCCTCTAGATGATTACCTTCTATACACACCCCCAAAAGAAAAACAACACAGCAGCAAGATGACTGCAGAGTCCCCAACTACCCTGAGGCAGACCAGTCTTGGTCTAAACAAGACCCAGTCTAGCTCACTGAGGTCTCTGCCCACTGCTCTGCTTCATCCCATAGACATACGTATGAGCAAGATAACTTCCCACGTCAAACGCAACATGAGTGTTGTCTTGTAAAAGCCCAAAAGAGCATCCTCCCTGTCAAGCCATAACTAGTTTCTCACCGTTCACCAAAGGAAAAGGTTGAACTAACACACCGAGGAGAAAACACAGACAGACAAAATCCCCAGGGATTTTGGACCACAGTGCCCAGGGGCAGCTGCAAGGAAGAGGGCAGAGGGAAGGTCTACCAAGTCCTCCTCCTCTGAAACTCTGCAGAGCTGCGACCAGCCCAGCTCAGAATACACAACGGCTACAGCACCACCTGAAGCCAGGGTGCCACAAGCCACGTTACCCAAACCTTCAGGCTACGGGAGCGATGCTGCCGCAGCGCGGTCCCAGCCGCGGCAGTCCTTGGGTACAGAGGACAGCAGTAGGGACAGGCAGCCAACGGGGACAGCCTCATCTCCAGCCCACTGACCACATTCCCAAGTGCTCTGCAAACGGACAAACTCCAGCCTGCCCCATCTTTCTGGTCTCTTCCCCTTGCTCCCCTTCCCCAGTGCTTGGTTGCTGCTTTTTTTTTTTTAAGGGGTTGGGGGGTTTTTTACGTTTTTTAAAATAGTTTTAAGTTTTTCCCACACTTCTACTATGAATTATAAACCCTGCTTGGTGCAGACAGGATAAGCACTGGGAAGTCATGCTGTGTTATCACCTACATGGCTCCGTCCTTCAGAGTCCTGCTGATACTACAGATGGATACTACACATTTCAAGAACAGCAAGGTAAAATAATTTTAGTCCACAGTTGCAAGTGGCTTAGAGTGTGGAAAAGTTTTTGAGCACTTAAAAGTGTAAAGCTTCTCAGAATAGCTTGTTACAGAGGCAGACTGCATGTTGCCTGCTCTAAGGAGGTTTTGCCTATTTTGCCTGCTGTAAAAAGATTCAGCAGGGATGGGAAAAAACTGTTAGCTACCACTTTCTTAAAATATTTTCCCCACTGTCACATTACAAATGATCCAGTGATTTACCCAGAACACCTGAAAGCTAAACAACTTCAATAATACAGTCCAGAGGTTTCTTGTAGGGCTTGAAAGGAGCTCCTCGGAGCATCTGGGATTCCCCTAGCAGAACAGACTTGAAAGTCTCCCACCAGAAATTACAAAATTTTGAAAAGCCTTTTGAAAATAAAAAAGAGCAGGTTGACTCCCATGTTGCATCTAAAGCTGGAAAGTAAATCCTGCGTTTCTGTGCTCTGGTCCTTTCCCAAAGCGCTGGTGACCACTTCTTTGCAGAGAAGAGGAACATCGCTATCCACAGGTAAAACACTGTGCTATAGCTGCTCAAGAACAAGTTTACTCCAAACTGCCATTGCAGCTCTCTAACGGACACCAGAAGCCATCCTGACCTTCTTGTTGTAGGACACGGTACCCCAGCTTCTGGCTGAAGCCGCACCTCAGCGAGCCACTGTGCAGCTGGCTGCAGCAGCACTTGACACTGGAAGAGCCAGAGCAGCCAAAGACATTGCACTTGGGATGATCTGAAGAATGTGATTTTTCCTTGAGGGGAAAAAAAAAGAGCTATAAAAAAAAAACTGGGGGAGAGATGATAAGCAAAAGCAATAGTGCTCTCCAAGGCTCAGCCCACTTCTCTGCACCTTTAACACGTCCATAACAGATTATTTGTCTCATCTTACCAGCTCCTTAATGCAACCTGCTCGCTGCCACTGTGTCTTTCAGGCACGGATGGAGACGGCCGGGAGATCCAGCTGTCCCTAACTCTTCATTTCGAAAGCAGCTGTCACTCCCAGTTGCCAGTGGTGTGACAGAAATATTAAACCCCATGCAATAATCAGGGCTACAAGGGCAGCTCTTCTGCAACATGTCACAGCCAACAGCACAGGCAGGCATTTCACTGCTTTATGCTCACCTATACAGACACTGGAAAAAAGCAAACTCTTCAACTTCATGGCAGGAATGGACGTATCTTTCCTCCGTTACTGACTCCACAATCAAAACAGAGCAAGGATAGAAATATTAAAGTGTATCTTGTCCTCTTATTTTTCCAAGCTGCAGCTCTTACTTCAAATGTTCCCATGAATTTTGCTCAATACGTGTTAACCACAGCTTCATTTTTCAAAGTAGCAAGGTCTGAGTAAATGTCTCACTGTGTCATCTAATTCTGCATCTTCTCCTTCTCACATCTTTCTTCAGTGACACTTCACTCAAAGACAAATTCATGCCCCCACTTTTGACATTGTTTTTTGGTTGTTATGGGGCCAAAGAATTCAAATTACGTCCTTTACGTGCTGCTAAAAATACAAATATTCTGCAGACTGGAGGGAAAAAATAAACTGCACATCAAATTAAGTGGGCAATTTTTCAAGACATTTATGAAGTGGAAGTTATTCTGAACGTCTCTGACCACACTCTGTAATAGAATAACCAGAGGAAGAGCAACTCAGTAACATGGGAGGGTTTACACAGCAGAAGACAGCAGCTAGACCACATATATTTTGGCAGCCACCTTTGCGAAAGCCTCTCTGCAGCCAGAAATGTCAGACTGGTGCAAAGGAGCCAGTTTGTACACATTTGTTTTTCTATTCAACAACACAAAAGTCCAAATTTAGGAAAAACTTGAAAGCAGAGAAAATGGTTGATGGCAGTGGGAGGGATGGAGATGGCAAGTGGCTGCACTGACCTCGGCATCTGACCACCATACTAGTGCTTTTTGGAGTACAAGGGCCATGCTGTGCTCGACTAGATGGTTTTCAAAGTACTCTGGAGAGGGAACAGAATATAGCTTAGCTCTGTAACAGCCTATGTTGAATATAGATACTGAATATGCATATTTTTATGATTTAATTCTGCGCATACTCGAACTCAAGAGTAGTCTGACACCATGAAGTTATAGCATTTGCTTGAGGGAAATGACACCTTGTGTATATGAAAACTACAGAGACGTTTGTTTCCTGGACGCTTTGATGAAACACATCATTCTGCCCTGATATAAGTAGGATACCTGTAAATAGGCGCAGCCTGTACCTGCCACACTTCTACATATACCTATGTAAGACTGAAGACTTTTTTTTTTTAATAGACCACTCAAATTACTTTCTCAAGCCTGCCACACAATTTTCTCCTGCAAGTACTGTATTTTTCCAGCAAACAGGGTTTTTTCCATGACAAACACACAAGGTGAAGTAGCTATAAACAGGAATGGTAAGAAAATGTGAACAATGCGAGAAAGGTATCAGAAAAATTTACTAGGATGTAAGCTACAAAAAGCCCCAAGCCATGCACACTTAAATTCAACTGAGAAACAAAGTTAGCAACAAATTCCTTTAAAAAGAACGAGTTGAAAAATCTCACAATCTGTCATCTCACACTAAAGCTTACAGCATCCAGTTTACAATTTAAGGAAGTAAAAAATTAATCCCAGCAACTGTAAGCCTAAAGATGCTTAATGAAAATGCATGTTACTGCCTACCCACATTGAACACCATCTCGCCATTAGCAAACCTGAAATAAAATATGCAAATTTTGGATGACAACTTTACTGAAATCAATTGTCCAGCTGGGATCTCAAGGTGGAAGGTGTCTACATCAAAAATCCAAGACTTGGTGCAAAAATTGTTATCCATAAATCAGATTTACTGTTATAACCCCCTCCTCAAAAGTCCCATATTTTTCCATTAAGGTCCCCAATGGCACTTGCTGGGACCAGCCTGGCCAGCAGCATGGGAACCTCTGGCCACCAGCCACCCAACCTGCGTGTTGCAAGCCTGCTCGCTGCCCAGAAGAGGAACCAAGTGTTTCCCACAGCCCGGCAGCAGTGCTGCTCGAGCTGCAGCCTGGGGACACACACACACACATCCCCTCCCGCTTATAAACCCTCCTGCTTATATTAGCAATCATTAACAACCACCTTGCCTGGCTCGCTCCCTCCGTGCCAGTACCTGCAGAAGACACAGACACTGCCACCTCTTTCCACAGAGGTTGCTTGCCAAGGCCACGTCTTCAGCCTTCTGCTCACCATCAGCTCCTCTTCTCCCCACTGCTCAATTTATATGAAACAAGGACAAACTTCCATTAGAAACTACTGGGACGCAAGACTTGTACGGAGAATTTCATCCATCAAAAATGCAAATGGCTGTAGTCTAAGGACTGGAGCTGATATCAAAGACTCAGCTGCTGGGTCCTGCAGAGGGTTGCGGGTGGTTGCACATCAGCATGTCTTGAGATGCCCTCACAGAAATTCACTGCAACCGTGAGTCCAGATCTGACTCCTCCAAGCCCTCCTCACCAAAGCAGTTTTGCTGTTGGGACCTTGGCCAGAAAGCAGTTTCCCAGCCTCTGAACGGAGCAGCTGTGGTGATGCTACCAAGCAACCCATGTGAGCCAAAGCAGCTGAATTTTCAGTCTCTTCAAGACTTTTCTGTCTCCTTACAAGGAAAGTACAAAAGTTTTACATGCTTTTATACTGGTCTCACACTGTCAGGCTGCACTAGCATCAGACTGTATTGCTCATCTTCACCATTCTGCTGTAAGGTGAACTGTAGATCCAGTGACCCTTGGCAGAAGGGCTTATAAAAATGAAGATATCACTAAAATCTCCTCTTTTTAGGAAGTACAGCACCTCAGCCTTGGGCTGGGTTGGGGATTTCCTGGAACCCAACTTTTACATATTTTATACTGTAGAAAAGTATCTACTGAAGTCACTTGAGATTACAGACTATGTTTTGGTTATTTCTCCATTCCCGCTGCATCCACCAGTTAGAGCAAATTAAAGGCAAGCATGATGAAGGCATACAGCCAAATACAATTTAGTTACAAAATCTTAACAGTTACCTCCCCCTAGCAGAGTCATCTCAACTGCCTGCACCCTTCCTCAGCATGCTCCATCTCCAGGAAAAAACTTGTAAAATTTCCATTTTTGCTTCTGTAAGCTCTTACTGCACCATACGTTTCTCCTGTCCCGCTACACCCAAGCCCATGGAAATGGATATGATTTTTTCCTGTATGCTACTGCAAGCAGAAGGTCATTGAAAAAGGAGAAATGAGTTCAGGTGAAGGTGCGTTGGAGTCCTGAATGTGCCCAAGGAACTACTAATACAGACTGCTTGTGAGGAGAAAAAGAAAAAGGAAAAAAAGAAAAAAAGAAGAAGAAAAAAAAAGGCAAATTTTGACACATTGTACTTAAATACTGTGATGGCCTGTATCAGACTGAAACTACTGCTGTGGAATAGTCGAAAAGGTACGTCCTTACTACAACCACATCCACCACTGCCGAAAGTCAGCAAGTCGCCGTTTCTGTTTCATGTTCTATTTTAAAAGCACATTTTAACACAGCGTTTTATATCTTTAGCCATCTATGCTATAAACCTGCAATTCTTCCTTTAGGGGAACAGGCTTGAAGGAAATGCTTATGCATCTATAGAAGTGGAAATTCTTTTCAACATCTGCTAAGAGGCACAAGGCACACTTGCAATCTGCACCACTTCCCAGCAAAGTACTCTCCCTTGTAAAGCTACTATTAGTTGTAACAGTGTCTAGTGTGCTTGCACGCCCTAGACTAAACCCCGCCACACAAAGTGGTGCAACAGTCTGCTAAAGCAAGCTGCAAAAAGTTGAGTAAACCCTATCAGGGTTTTCTTGAAGAGCATGAAACAGGCACCTCGACATGCTTCGAACCATGCAGACTATTGGCTTGCAGCAGACTCCCCATCCTGGCAGCCTGGTATAATTGGGGGGGCACAATCAGCAGTTGCGAGGCAAGGGGAGCTGTCATGAGAGGCTCTTCTCTACACGCTTAAAGCCTTTCAAAAGCAAAGCTGCAGGGTTACATCACTGTATATACCTACCAAGCACAGCCAAAACAAGCACGGCTTTGGGTCTGCTTTGACTGCATCGCCACGGCCCAAGGAAACCTCCAAGCTTCCCAAGACATCCAGGAGAAGCTGCGGGCTGTTGCAGGCAGGCGCCGGCACACAGGGCTGCGTGCCCAGGCGGTGACGAGCCACAGGAGGAAGTGACGGCCACACACTGCCGGCTGCAGGCACAGCTTCTGCTTCACGAGACCCAGCTTCCCACGCGGAAGTCAAGCTGCTCCTGATATCTTGCTACAAGACCAGCCAGTGTCCCCATCTCCATCACAGACACTGCAGTATTTGTTACTAGAACCCCAAATTTCAAGCCCAAAATGGACAACACATTCAATGTGCTTGCATCGAGGACTTCTGCTGATCCCCATCCGCAGCTGCTCTCTCATTAACAAACTCAGACTGTAAACGCCCTGGTCAGTCCCCAGCTTCTAAACATCACATCACCAGACTGCACATCACCAATCCTAGCCCAAATCTGGCACTCACAATCCTGCTACCGAAAAGGAAATCAGACTTGCACTCACAAAGTGAATTATGACTTCAGGAATTAAATTATTATCAAGCAGGATAAAGCAAGATCCAGGAGATCCTGTTTGCATGTTTATTTCCTTGACTACAACAAAAACTCAAGAGCACACAAGCAAGTTAGTTTTTTTTTTAAAGAGCATAAGGAGCACTAAGACAGCTGAATTGCAAGGAGGTTTATGTTTTAACTGTCTCAGGGTCTTTCAAAAAGACTGCCCATAGATCACTTTAAATATGAGTCGCAGATGTGTTACAGAAAATTCAAACAAGCTCCTGTCCCAGTAAACTTGCATAGTATCCAAAACTGTGCTGGATGCTGCGCTGGATAAAAACACGCTCACCACCCTTAGCAGAGGCACTGCGAACACCCAGGTGAGAACCTCCACTGCAACGTGCTTTGATGCCACCAGCAATGTCCCAACAAGCCAGAGCACCCAGCATGATCTCATACAAGACCCTGCAGATTTACTAGCATGTGTACCCACAGCACACAATGGTTCTCGGTGTGATTCTCACCTGCCCTGGAGCCACTTTGTGAGTTTGGAAAAGGGAGTGTGGAAATGCAACCCGGCTCCAAGCAACATGCCCTTACCTGAGCTCAGTATCAGGTGCCGAGATGCATCAGTTCAGCTGGAGTTGTCCTCTCCCCTGCAGGCATCTACCTGGCAGGAGCTGGCTGTTTCCGCTGCGGGGTGGCAAGGACCCCCAGCCACTGCAGCCCACCGGTCCAATGCCCTTTGGCCTCACTCGCGCTGCCCCAGCTCAGTGTGGCGGCTCTCCCCTCCGCTCCTCTGGCACGTGAGAGCTCACGGCGAGTAGCTGGGAGAAAAGGTAACGTGGGGGGCAATCCGCACACAGGCTCCCTCTTCCCCCACGCTCACTGCAAAGGAAGTAAGAAGTTAGTAAGTTTTCCAGTTCTGGCACAGCGGAGGCACCGTGCTTCATTGGCACAGGGGGTCTTTGCACACAGGAAAGGCAGGTCCCGTTGGAGTGGGCAGCAAGGTAGCGTCTTAGCCTGGTGGGGAAGGAACAGGCTGTAACAGGACACCCAACGTCAGAAAGCAAACTATGTTTGTCTGCGCTGGAAGAAAACCTTTGGTGTGGGTCATGCTCAGATTTTGTTGATTTGGTGGGTTTTTCATGATGAGTTTCCTCCCCACCCAGCTCACAGCATCAGCCCAACATAGAATTGCACTAACACAGAGGACTCATTATAGGGATTTTGTTTGAGCCTGGCCTGGACCATACATGCCAGGTACCAGAAAACTGGCCTGTGTGTCTCCAGCTGCACAACATCATCTTGTCCAAGGTGGTTATCCGGGATGCTCAGCTCAGACACAACCCAGCATGTGGTTTGCAGCAGGGGGCTGTGCTTTAGCCCATTTTCTGGTCTGGTTGAGCACCGGGGATGGAAGGGCTTCCCATGCAGATCTCAGAGTCCATCACACCTTTGTACCAGCACACACATGCTACCAGCAACTCAGCAGGCAGAAATGCCCCCCACCCAAGCCAAAGGCACAGTATTACACCCAGCTTCAGCCATTCTAAGAGCATGCTGCTGCCAAGAATGGATGCAATGCGGGGTCTGGGCCATTCCTCCAGGAACAAGCTGGGGTAAAAGGGAGATGCAGCATATGGGACTTTGGTCAGGTTATAAGCAGTAACACAACATCACCAACTCACATGGCGGAACAGCTGGCACCAGCAGCATCACCTGAGTCACCTTCCAGCACTTGCAGTTCCTACCTGATACATCCAAACAGCTAACACAGTTCAAAGGACACCAGAGCCCAACATACAGTTATTATTTTTTAAAACAAGTTTTTAATTCTCACCTTAAGCAATCCAAAGAAGCAACGCACTGGTTTCACAAGCGTGAAATTGAGACATTACCCCAAAGCGCGATGCTTCTGTTTGAAGTCATCAAGTGCTGGGAGGGGGAAGCATGTGCCAATACCCAGGAGAGGAAGCACAGCTCACTTTTGTCATGAGCAGCCACTATAATAACACCACCTCTCCTCTGATCCCCCTCACAGGCATTTCTGAATGGACTTCTCCCCACACTCCTGGGCTGTCTCCACACACTTTCCCCACTGTCACCCCTCCAGCACCCGGACAACGACTCGGAGACTCCAAAGTGCAGACAACTTCACACCCTTTCTGAGGTGGCCACTTTTATCATCAAGTAGCCTATAACAGAGATTACATTATCTATATATTATCACTGAGTAGCTTATAATGTGGCTTACACATATAACACAGATTACACACATTTCCTTCTGTTGTCCCAGTTTGCACCAAGCTTTTAAAATACGATGGCAAGCTGTGGTCACGACAATGATAATACTTTGCTACTAGACTATGGCAATACCATAAAACCCAAATACATTGGCCAAGTCTTTTAGTTATAGAAATAACTAAAAAGCTATGTAAGGCTACATTTACATGCTATCCACCCCCCTCAACGCTACCAGCGTGTGCGGCAGTGCTGCCAGTAAATAAAACCTCAACCCTCTCCCCACCATCCTTCCTATGCTCCCAGCACTTACATCTCATTTTCACACACATTTTTTTCACACTGTGCCTTGGCACTCAGGTTAAGGTCTTCTGCCCAGCGATGGAGATGGGAGGAGAGAAGCAAGAGGGCTGATAAAGAGATTTGCTCTCCTCCTTGCTTCCACTTGGTAAGCCCAGCCTTGGTGCTTCTGCAAAGCTCAGCCGTTGCAATGTCAGAAGATGCGGCCTTAGACATAAGCTAAACCCTCCAAGCAGAACCATGAGTCTACAAGCAATTCTTTGGCAGCTTCTATTTTCAGACCTCACATAGAATAAAAGAGCATCCAAACATTTTTTAAGCTCTTTTTAACAGGAACTCATCTTCTCCAGACAACAATAGTAAAAAAAAAAAAAAAAAAAGAAAGAAAAAAGAAAAACCAGCACAAAAACCCCAAGATGCATGAATTTATTTTTTATAGCATCATTATATAAATGATTTCTCATTTAAAAAAGAGAAGTAAACTGAAGAATGCAGTAGTCCACATGCTGCTTTTTGAATTGAAAACTAATGTTCTCTCTGCATTCCCTCCTTCCTCCATTCCGGTGTCTATAAAAATGCCAGAAAAGCAGGGGTGGGGGGAAATCTTTTTTCGGATGATGCACTGACGTGGAAAGGAACTATATCGACACAGAGCTTACAAATGCGTTTCTTCTGTTTGCTTAAGACTGGAAGACCAGTTTACATTTCTTTAACCATAAACTAAAGGAAGCTACAACAATGGTCATTCTCCACTTGAACATGTATTCCTCTCAAAATAGCGTATTTTATTCTTTTCGGTCATGTAGCAATACCACAGGACACGCTACTCTTCCCTTTTGCCATCCCCATGGTCATTCTTGCCTCCAGCTACACATGGCAATTTTGGGTAAGCTAAAAGGTAAGCTACTGCATCTCCTTTTGCTATTTAAAACTTTTCCTGCTTTTCAGCTTGGTGGCAACCACCAACTAGAGGCCCACACCTCACACGTGCCCTGGCTGATACCCAAGATGCCACACTGGGCACTGTGGAGCTAGTGATGGTCACTAGCCAAAACCAAAGGAACAAGGATGCAAAAAGAAGCTATTGCGCTGCCAGCAGCCTGTGCTCTCCTTGGCACAGAGGGGTGGCATCTTCTTTTAAAACACAAATAAGGAAATAACAAATGTACTGTTATACAAAGTCACTGGGACAGCTGATGAAATACATGGGTAGGAAGTTAAAAATCCACTAACAACGAGATGCAGCTTGTCCCTGGAAAACTTGCCCAAAATAATAATTGAGGTGAATTATTTGTAAGTTATAGATATGTAAATTGAGTTAAAGTGAGACCTATGCTGACTGTGCGGGTCTGGCACTCCTTGCCAGAGCCCCTGGCTGCACCCCATTTTTAGGAGGGGAGGCAGCTTGAGCAATTAGCCTGACCCTGACCCAGACTAATGCCCGTGCCCTAGGAAAATATGCATTTTAAATGAGGTTCTCCGAGTACCACCACCCTCATTCCTTCAGCCGCTTTAATGAGTTTAATCAGCTCACACCGCCTCCGAATACAGAACCCCATGCAGTAAGCTGTTTGTGTTTGGCAGCCTCTGCAGAGGACACTCCCTGACCATTTTGCTGGCAGTACCTTGGACTTGCATTACCTTCAAACACCATCTCTGGACTCTAATGAGCAAGCTGTTGTTAACTTCTCTTCTTCTACCACAGCCCCACACAAGCATGTCCAGCAATAGAAAACTTCAGGGAAAAAAGAAGTATTTGATTCAACACTGGAAAGTACTGAGAAAATGTCTCCAAAAGCTCTTTCACAGCCTGGAACCATACGCAGGACAGCATTAGGATACACATTTTTAAGGAGTATGGAAGCAATCTTCTTTTAATTACAACGTAACCTTTCCCTTCCTTTTTGCTTGTTGGTAACTCCTAAAATAAGCCCAACTGAACAGTTGCAGAAATTTTTGCTATTTTTTTTTGTGCAAAAGCAACATTTTACATAAACAAGAAAATTTAATGGTTGTGCTCCCTTTGAGGAAATTCTTCACACAGTAAGTTGTCCCCTCTTCCCTTCATGGAAAACATGTTTATAAAATCCAACTGGAGGTAAAAATGTAAGACACGTAATGCTTCAGCTTATGAAACAGCAACGGTCTTGTAGGACACCCTGTTAAAAGCAGCTCGCCAGCTTAGGAGTCAATATAAAAATAACTCAAGGGTTCTTGGGGTTTTTTTAATAGTGTTGAAATCAACATCTGTGTCATTTAGTTAGGGCTCCAAAACACATCTTACAATTCACAATGTATTTGGCCATTACCACTTTACCGTGGTCAACATCAAACTAAACCTGACACTAAAAATGGATCCATTGAGACTGCTGGGGTTGAAAGACAGACACGCAACTTTCCAGCCAGGGAAAATGAAATGGTACTGATATTTTGGAGTAAGCCTTATTATTCCAATAACAGTTTCCGTACATTAGATACAAGTGCAACGAAATGATGCTCAGGGGACTGGTGGAAACACAGGCGGGCAGGTTGGTGCTGGACACTGGTAAGATCTAAGTGTGGAAGAGGATGCAAATCGCCCAGTCACTAGCAAAGCCCCAGTGCTGGTAGCAGGGAGCTGGTGAGGTGCCACGCCAGGCAGTGACCAGTGGCAACCAGCATCAGCTCCCGGCCATCAACAGCAGCTGAACCAGTGCTCCCAAAACTGCCGTCTGAGCCTACACCACCAACCACGACCCCATCGAAGTGCGGAGCACACCTCCCCATCATTGCAGTGGGGGAGTTTACACCCACTGCACTCCCAGAGCAAAGCCATGATGGTCCCTGGTGCAGTCAGTGTCAACAGCTGGCACCTTTGCACATGTGCTTGGGGAATAAAATGAGTCTTTCCCCCTCCTCTCACCCACCCCAAAGCTACCAGTAACACTTTTTTTCCTTGCAAGCGTATCCTCAGCATTGGGGCATTTCCTAATTAGCTAAACACCGGCCTCCGAAAGGCTTGGCAAGGATTGCTCACATCACCATGCTGACATGGCAGCGTTTTGCCCCAACCCACGGCAGCGAGGCCAAGTCCCTGGCACGCATCCCTCCATCAGGGAGATGGCAGAGCACTGTCACACTTCATG